TTTTGAATCATCACCAAAAAGTATACAGATCTTTAGATTAATATAATTAAGAAGTGTGTAAAGTTTTAAGCAATAATCATAAATCGTTTTTGAGATACGGTGCGACATGTGAACCCCCCTATGTTTTACAAAAAACTCAATAACTCTAAATTAAAATTTTGAATCATCACCAAAAAGTATACAGACCTTTAGATTAATATAACTAAGAAGTGTGTAAAGTTTTAAGCAATAATCATAAATCGTTTTTATACGCCCGTCAATTTTTGACGGGACGTATTATGGTATACAAATGTCCGTTGTCCGTCCGTCCGTCTGTCCGTCTGTCTGTCCGGCGTAAACATGTCGCACGGTAACTTGAGAATTACTTATCCAAATTTCATGAAACTTAACATAGTTGTTTCTTGTGATGGTCAAACGAACTGTATACTTTTTGGTGAAAATAAGATTAAAACTTTTTGAGTTACGGGACTTAGTAACTAAAACAGGTGTGTGTTTTTTTTCACATGTCGCGCCGTATCTCAAAAACAATTTGATTATTGCTTAAAACTTTACACACTTCTTAGTTATATTAATCTTAAGATCTGTATACTTTTTGGTGATGATTCAAAATTTTATTTTAGAGATATTGAGTATTTTGCTTAAAAAGGGGGAGGGGTTTTTCACATGTCGCGCCGTATCTCAAAAACAGTTTATGATTATTGCTTAAAACTTTACACACTTCTTAGTTATATAAACCTTAAGATCTGTATACTTTTTGGTGATGATTCAAAATTTTATTTTAGAGATATTGAGTATTTTGCTTAAAAAGGGGGAGGGGTTTTTCACATGTCGCGCCGTATCTCAAAAACAGTTTATGATTATTGCTTAAAACTTTACACACTTCTTAGTTATATAAACCTTAAGATCTGTATACTTTTTGGTGATGATTCAAAATTTTATTTTTGAGTTATTGAGTATTTTGTAAAAAAAAAAAAGGGGGGAAGGGTTTTTCACATGTCGCACCGTATCTCAAAAACGATTTATGATTATTGCTTTAAATTTTACACACTTTTTAGTTATATTAATCTAAAGATCTGTATACTTTTTGGTTTTGATTCAAAATTTTATTTTTGAGATATTGATTTTTTTTTTAAAAGGGGGGTTTTCACATGTCGCGCCGTATCTCAAAAACGATTTATGATTATTGCTTAAAATTTTACACACTTCTTAGTTATATTAATCTAAAGATCTGTATACTTTTTGGTTTTGATTCAAAATTTTATTTTAGAGATATTGAGTTTTTTGTAAAAAAAAAAGGGGGGGGTTTTCGCATGTCACGCCGTTTGTCAGAAACTATTTATGCTTATTGCATAAAAATTCACACACAAGACGACGGGCGTATCATGCGCTCATGGCGCAGCTGTTTATTGAGATTCGGCGCGATATGTGAAAAAAACACTCCCCTGTTTTAGTTACAAAGTCCCGTAACTCAAAAAGTTTTAATCTTGTTTTCACCAAAAAGTATACAGATCGTTTGACCATCATAAGAAACAACTATGTTAAGTTTCATGAAATTTGGATAAGTCGTTCTCAAGTTACGGTGCGACATGTGGACGCCGGACAGACGGACAGACAGATAGACAGACGGACGCCGGACATTTGTATACCATAATACGTCCCGTCAAAAAATTTGACGGGCGTATAAAAACTAACACAGAAATAACAACTATTGTAATTTAAAAATTATCAGACTACTTGACCACAATGTAAAGATTGATCCAGATTTTCTACCGGTATATCCCAAACAGAAACTAGCAGAGACTGGTAAGTTAACAAACAAAAACCGAAACTTTTAAGATCGTCCGTCACTCCTAGTTTAGAAATAAAGCTTGTGTATAAATGTCGTTGTCACATATGTAGTAATGAACAATTATTTGATCAGATAATGTTTAAGACTTCGTTATAAGTTATTTATGTGGTCATTGTCATTATAGTTAGAATTTCAAGAACAACAGAATTATTTTTATTTTGTAGTCGTAGCTGATCTGCTGATCTGATTGAATATTTTCTCATGAGATATTCGTAAATAATCATCTAAACAGGTTTGATCAAAATCAATGGTCATACCTAAATGGTTATTAAAAATGTATACTATATTGTATTTAACTTGGAAAGATTTAATTATGAGTATATAAAGGTATTGCAGTACTTTTGCAATGTCTACGAAAAATGAATGAAATTAAGAAGAAGCAACTGGTCGTTCTTTGCCAGACAATAGGTGGCACAAATGGGTTGGTTTAATGATGTTGAAAAGAACGCTTTAAACAGAAAGACTTTTCTACAGGTCAGATGCATAGCCCGATATCATCCACGGGCGTTCCCCTTACTTTCCAGATGAAAATAATCGAGTACACGTCTGTCAAACGTGTTTCAGAAGATAACGGACTATGTCTGATCTGTAGACAAACCACACTGCCTTAAAACCTTAACCATTCGTTTAATTCTGTTTCAGTTAAAGAGGTAGGTGGAGTCACCAAGAACGGAAACTGTAATGATCTGGGTTATTTCTAACTTCATTGGATTCTTGGCTCGTGTACAGAAACCCCCATCTCTTCTTTACCTCTTTACAGTTGTTCTACCCTTTGAGAGTATCTTGGTAAGTACTTCCACCACGTCTTCAAAGATCTAATTTACAACCTGTCATCTTTGATGGTGTATGACCTAAGAGATCGAAACTGACCACTCTTATTTTTGATACCCACTAGATACACGACCATTATCTACCAATACCAAACGCAGCTCACGGAATTGCTTGTATTTTAAATGACGATGTCCGCATTTGTGTTGGACAAACACATTGAAACTGTAAACAGTAGAAAATGACCATATATATGCCTAGTTTACCTACTTAGCAGAACAGAAGCGCCTGGTTAATATCATTTACAAATACTAACAAGTTTGGTAACGAGGATCTGAGCGTTTCATTAAACAGGGTGTTAAAAGACTTTAATATCAAAAGTCAATATAAGCTTAAATTACACCTTGTGTATTCCTACGGCAAAAGACAGTAATCATTTTGTCAAATGTTTCTATGTTAAACTTTATTAAAGGGCAGACAGCTAATTTCCAATGTTGAAAAAGTAAACATTTAGTTAACACAAAACGGTCTTATCAGTTAGAAATGTTTTGAATTTGATCAATATTAAGTATTTCTCGTATGAAATGATCGATTTGGATGAAAAGTAAATACTATTTTGATGGTAATTACAATAGTTAAACATTACCAATCCATAACTAATACTTAGTCGTTAAAATAAACTGATAGTTTAATGTTTAGTCAAGTAATTACTTAATTGTCGTTGGTAATTATAACATTACGATTTGTTTCCCGCCCAGACACACCATCAATAAAGGGTGTTTCATTTCTGTTAACGATTCATTTAGTTATTTTTTAAACATATTAAACATATTTGTTAAATAGAAGAATAAAGATTGATAATTTATTTTGGTATACATTTTTTTTCTGCTTATGCAATTCAAATTCGACTGCACTTTGTCGAATTCTTCCTTATTTAGTACAGGAAACAACATTCAAACAGAATGGATAAAGCAGGATTCTTTATTTCCTGCAAACCATATTTACTCTCTTTGACTTGAGTAACCTACGTTTAGTTACTCAATTGCTATTTTATAAATCTTATTTATTACCTCAAGAGCTAATTGGCTGTGAGGAGTGAATTGATATATAGTTTCGAATTCGCCTCTCTCTGCTTATACAAAATTATTTAAGCACAAGCAATTCGCATAGGGGCCTGTATCCAGTCTTGTAGCAAAAAAAATATATTTACACTACCAAACCTACATTCTTTATCCAGTAAAAGTTTTAGAAATAGAAAAATGTATTTTCTTAATTTCTCTCGCTCCAACGAATCTATATCTTGATTAATATTGAACTCCACCAGAATATGCCAAGCAAACGAGAGAAAAGGCTTACATTACTAGATCATGCTTCGATATGTGCGTGCAACTAACTCAGTTTGACATTCTTTTGTCTTCTTTGAGTCGTTGATTCGTATTGTCGTCGCATCACCCACCTTCGATTGTGCTTCTCATTTTTGTCGACGGGTGTAAGGCACTGGCTAAACTTGGTACATTGTAATTCAATATGTGTGACGGGGTAGTCACTTGCTATTGGATCTATTTTTCAGAGCGGGACACTTGCTCATAACCGAGAATCTGACTCAATGTGAAGAATCGCTTGCATATCAATAGGTACTGCTATTTAGTGTTTAACATTGAGAAACTCAGTTTTTTTGCGCAAAAATAATGTGTCACAGTGATAAGCCGTTTTTTCTTTCTTTTTTTCTGGCATTCAAGATGAGTTTAACCGACGACAAGTCAAGAACCTCGCTACAGTGGTTTTCTGTTGTGATATCTCAATGGTTTTGCTATTTGTGGATTATAATGTTTAAATTATTCATAACTTGTTTGGACTCCGAGCGATATATACAGCTTGACATATTCTATAGACGCCGGTCTACTGTTGAGAGGGACAAGGAATTGTAATGTATGTATTACTGTCACAAAATTTCTACATGCACTTTACAAAACCCAAAGAAAAGGAACAGCACTTTATTGCTATTCTTCATCTCAAAGTCACAGTGACGCATGCATCAGGGGACAATAGCTCACATCTGAAGACCGCATGTTTGTCTCTAGATGTCCGTTGATCTTTTGTGTCGTTGGTTTGCTGTCTCATTTACTTCTACCCAAATCTCCTTTTATTCATCTTTTATAGTATAATATTAAATTTAATCTTGTTGCAGTTTTGTTTATTATTTTCCTACGACCGTTTAAAACAGATAAACAACTTGTTACTATTAGCTTGTTTGAAATTCGATATTAGTACCTTATTGATCACCAACGCATCGTATTTTATTAGGAGAAATAGCTATTTAAAATTACAATCAAAATATTACATCATAGACCACATGATCCAATAAATCCGTTTAAGATCTTACCGTCTTCTATAGCTAATCCATTCATGGCTGAACTAATCCTAATTCGATTCCATTGTTCATATATTGCATAAAAATAGGTTGTTCTTCTGGTTATAGTGTTAACTCTAAGATTAATCGAAGTTCCCAAGGACTGTTATACATGTGAAAGATGGAATTAAAATTCGATCACAATCCCCGGTAGCTGCGCCAATAGTTCTTTTTAAACCCAATGGCAAAACAATGAATTTTAAAACCTTAGCTACGTTCAATAGATTTGTACAAATTTGCTTATTTAAATCCCCTTGGAACACTATCAGTCAGGAAAATAAAGATATACCCATCGAAGTTTGATCTTTTTGTAACGATCTATAAAGTTAAAGGCTATACAGAAAGATTCGTTAGAGTCAGTTGGTTCAGCAGTTTTATGGCTTCTAATACGTAGAAATGATATAATACACAACGAACGCGCAATACTAAACATATATAATTCGATTTAATTCTTCTTTTAAATATTTGTTGAATAGAAGGAATAAAGATAATTTATTTGGTATAAAATTATTCTGCCGATTCGAATTCGACTGTACTCAGTAGAAATTTATTCAAAAGTTTTCCAGTTTGTTAAATTTCTATTTGAAATTTAAACATTCCTATTTGAAATTTAAAAATTCCTATATTTATTTGACTTTGTGTATGTTCTGTGTGATAGGACAACATGTTATTAGTATTAGGGAGCCACCATTTGATTTTTATGGGGGGGGGGGGGGGGCTAGGATGAAAATTTTGTCCTGCATTTTTTTTTAGTTGTAATCTCTGTCCTGCCTTTTTATTTTTCACTCTACTCGGTCCTGCATTTTTTTTTTAAAGTTTATCCTGACTTTTTTTTACATAACTATTGTCATCCTGTCTTTTTTTTGCCAAGTGTCTCATCCTGCCTTTTTTTTTTACCCAAAACTCCTGTCCTGCCTATTTTTTTCAAATTTCATCCTAGCCCCCCCCCCCCCCCCCCCCCTAAAAATCAAATGGTAGCTCCCTTAGGAATCGTATGGCGATGTATCAGTTGTAATGACAATCTCAAATTCTTATTCCAAGAACATATCAACGAGAAACTGACGAAAGATATAGTGCCTTTTTCTCCTTTAATACAATTATAATGCTTTACGAAAATACTGCAATGCAATTGTAAAATATATTGTAGCTCTTGAATTTTTCATATTATGTCTTTAAAATAACAAAACGAATCTTATTGATAAAGAAACAAAACAAGTTTGTCCCCGCTTCCAACCCCTTTAATGATAGCATGCCTTATAGGAACCGTTACCAAAAGTGGTCTAAGCGTGTAATTATGTCTTAAAAAATGTATAAAATTGTACCATACGCATTTCCTTTTGTAAAGTAACTATTATTTCATGAGATTTTTGTCGTTTCATAACCCATCTTTCCCGAAACACTACACATTCACTTGTCGCAGTAAAAAATATACCCATATACCTTTACTAAACACGGAACATGCAAATAGAGTACCTTGTGTTAAGTAGTATGGGTATATAGGTATATATTTTTACAGTCACAAGTGTATGTGGAATTGTACCATAATTTTAACGTTGTAACTATAAGTACCAGTAAACATTAAGTAGATGTGCTTTGATTGTCAATGAGAAACTTATAATCAAAAGACCAAAGGACGAGGATGTGACCAATTACAGGTTACCGTACGGCTTTCACATATGAGCCAAACTCATACCGTATGGTAAGCAATAAGGCCCCTTATGGGGGTGTCCAAGTAATCACATAATCACAAATTTTTGCCAATATAATCACATAATCATAATTATTTTTTTAAACAAGATAATCAAATAATCAAAACTACAGTCCTAGATTATCAAATAATCAAATAATCATGAAATATTTGGTCTAGTTATCAAATAATAACTATAAAATACGGCCAAGTAATCACATAATCAATAAAATGCTTCGCTGGGGCGCAGCTTGATACGACCGCAGAAGTCGAACCCTGAACAGTTGGGGCAAGTATGGACACAACATTCAAGCTTGATACAGCTCTGAATTTGGATTGTTATTAAATATTGGACACAGAATAGGTTTCTGACATAAATACTGGACCCTATCTTGGACCAACTTGAAAACTAGGCCCATAATCAAAAATCTAAACACATGTTTAGATTCAGCATATCAAAGAACCCCAAGAATTCAATTTTTGCTAAAATCAAACTAAGTTTAATTTTGGACCCTTTGGACCTTAATGTAGACCAATTTACAAAACGGGACTTAAAATTAAAAATCTAAATACACGGTTAGATTTGGAATATCAAAGAACCCCAATAATTCAATTTTTGATGAAATCAAACAAAGTTTAATTTTGGACCCTTGTGACCTTAATATGAACCAATTTGATAACGGGATTCACAAATAAAAAATCTAAATACATGGTTAGATTCAGCATATCAAAGAACCCCATATATTCAATTTTTGTTGAAATCAAACAAAGTTTAATTTTGGACCCCAATTTGGACCAACTTGAAAACTTGGCCAAAAATCAAAAATCTAAACACATGTTTAGATTCAGCATATCAAAGAACCTCATATATTCAATTTTTGCAAATATCAAACAAAGTTTAATTTTGGACCCTTTGGACCTTAATGTAGACCAATTTGAAAACTGGACCCAAAATTAAAAATCTAAATACACTGTTAGATTCGGCATAACAAATAAATAAATGTGATCAAAGATTTTACAAATCTAATGCGCCATACTGTGCAATTAAAGATTACTTCTTGAAATTTTTCAATATTTGAAATTTGAAAAAAAATAATATTTGAAGAATAATTCTTTTTAATTTCTGAAATCTGAAATGAGAAAAAATTGACCTCTCACAATTTCTTTTTATCCCCCCCCCCTTTTTTCCCCCAAAAAATTCTTTCCCTCACGTTTGGTCATAATCTCAATTCAAATTTCCAATGGAGTTGGCAACCATAATTACCCATTTAAATTTACCATAGTGCTAACTTAATCTATTTTATAATAGAATTAAAAATTTAGTGTCAAATCTTTCATATGGATTTTTTTTGTAAAAAAAAAAAGATGCAACATTTGCAGATATTTTTACTGGTCTTCCTTTATAAATATGCATTTCTTTAAACATAATTTAAAAGCAGTGTAAGGGAAGTAACCAAAACATTGTATTTGGATTACCTGCCTTACACTGTTTTAAATTATCTTTATTGTTCATTAACCATTACTTTATACATAATTTAAAAGCAGTGTAAGGGAGATAATTTCAATGATGTATTTGATTTATCTCCCTTACACTGCTTTAAATTATGTTTTGTACTAAAGTATTTGTCCATTAACCAGGACAACCTTGTTTTTCCCCCTTTTTTGCCCCTAATTCCTAAACGGTTTGAGCCATAACCCCCCCCCCCCCCCCCCCCCCCCAAAGCAAATCCTAACCATCCCTTTGTGGTATGGAAACTTGTAGTATAATTTCAGAGAGATCCATACACCGTTCCACAGTTATTGTCTGGAAACTAGAAAATGCTTATTTTTGGCCCCTTTTTCCTTAACTGTTGGTACCATAACCCCCAAAATCAATCCCAACCTTCCTTTTGTGGTATTTAACCTTATGGTCAAATTTCAAAAAGATCCATTCACTTAAACTAAAGTTAGAGTGCGAAAACCAATGTGTCTTCGGACGACGAAGCCAGACGACGACGACGACACCAACGTCATACCAATATACGACCACAAATTTTTTTTGCGGTCGTATAAAAACCCCATGAGTAGGCTCAGCAATGAAAGGCCCAGGATGACAAGGTGTCAAAAAACTCAAAAGGGAAGTTTATTTCATTTTAGTTTATAAAATAGTCTTTAATTGACAGTGTGACCTTATGTAATATCACATAACATTACACATATACATTTTCGCTTTATATACAAAATGCAGATAAATGTAACTATAGGTAAACTATATTTTGTGTATGGGATGAGTGTAAGGTGTCCGTCTGACCTCAACCTCATTTTCATAGTTCATTAATAAACACTAAGTCTGTTTCTCAGATACTATAGGCACGTTGCATTTGGTGTTTGGAACGATAGTAATGTGTACATGTACTTCTGGCAGGGTCCCTTTGACCTTGACCTAATTTACATTGGTAATTGATGATAATTTTGGGGATACTTGTAAATTCTTCATCGTAACGATTTTCAGCATGAGTTCAACAATGACCAGTAAATCAGGCGAACCATTTCAGCATGTAATCTTGTTTATCGGTGTTCCCGCGGTGTCTGTATCACTCTGCTCAGCTCTTCATAAAATTGCATATCACGCCTTTGTGACGTCAAATACGTTAACCCGACCTAAATAACTTTGACCCGGACATATCAACGACGTCATAATGACTGAACCGACGTTGATAAGTTTGACCTGACCTTATCACTTTATTTTCCAGTTTGCTGGTGAAACCAAGAAAAACACTTGTTTCGGTCATGCTAAATACACAAATACAATCCGATAAATCAGATTTTCATATTTATTTTGTAAAATATCAGCTGCTGGACACAATATGAAGCCTTTTTGAACTTGTTCACTGTGCTCACTCAACAAAAAGCTTCATATAGTGACTGGCAGCTGATTTTTTACAATATCAATATGCAGACAACCTAATAATAGGTACTCATTTCCTTTTTAAAATAGTGGCATCTGTTGATATCTGCACTGTGCAGGTTTTTTTTATTGTGTTTTAGTTTTACAACATATGGTCTAGAAAGGTAAACAGGGAGGTTTGTGCACATGTAAAAGTAATTTAAGCCCTGTACTAAGTCTGCTATCTGGACCATGTGTTGTTACTCCATTGTTTTTTTTTTTCAAGGAGGAATCAGGTGTGGTCTGTTGTACCCTCCAGTTTTTTCCCCGGAGGAGTCAGGTGTGGTCTGTTGTACCCCTCCAGTTTTTTTGCTGATTTCTGTTACCATTTTTTGATGTATTATTTCATCTTCTGGCAACCTAACACCATTTGTTCAACAGAATTTGGAGGAGCAATGTTATTTACATGGTCTGACTGGATATTATGGCAACTTGAAAACTTCAATTGCAATTCTGCTTTTACATATGTTGAATATACTGGTAATAGTCACATAACATTAACAATTGAAAGGTTAGTTAGTCCCATCAGTACAATAGAGATGACTTAATTTGACTACATGACATGTACCATGTACAATATTGTTATTCCATGACCAAGCTGTTTTGAATTAAAAAAAACTAAGTTTGTTGACACCAAATTATTTAATACATTCAGGTTCTTAGCTAGTCAGTTTGTGTTCAATTGTATATATATGCAAAATTAATCATCCATCACACACATGAAAGTATTCATGGCTATATTCATACAATCAAAATTTATTTAAATTACAAACTGATAAATTTTGATCCCATCTATATGCCTTGTGTTCAATACAAATCTTGACCTCTATTTTGAATTTATTGTTAAATAAGAATATGTGTCCACAGAACTCCATGTCTTGCTCCCACTTTGATTTTCTTGTTCAATAAACTGCCAAATCTTGGAAAAACTGTAAATTTCCCATATCAAAAGTTCACATCATAATAGAGATGTTTCAAGCTCATCTGACTACAGCTTCATGGTAAACTACCGTAACCAAACACTTTAACCTGAAAATGTACTGGTTTAACACTACCACATTTCCATGTTCAGTGGTTCAATGAACTGGGAAATTGCGGTCATAATAGTAATTTGGCATAAAATTCAGAAAGTTTACATCATAATGAAAATGTGTACTAAGTATCAAGCTGATGTGGAAAACTACCTTTACAGAAAACTTTTAACCTGAGAATTAACTGGTTTAACACTATAATTTTTCTTTTAACCTGATACCAGACTGTTGAATGTAAGAATAGCCGACAGACCAGTAAAAATAATGCCCTTCCACTGTTATAGGTTAGGCATAAAAATAATATCTTTTTTGCTCTGATGACCCCAACCTTTTGATATCAATTTCCATAAGAGTTCTTATGTCTCCAAGGCCCATAGTAAATATCATAATCCTAAGTCAGGCCTGTAGACAGGACACCACTGAGGCAGTTTACTTAGGGTCATGAAGCTCTTGACTTTCAATAGTCACACTTCAATTGGAATCTTGGCTATGGGTATGCAAGATCAAGAAAGCCAAAAAAATCATCTTAAAGTTGATGATGGACACAATTAATGGCAAAAACACACACTGGCCCTTTAAGCCAATTAAATAAAATCTGAATGACAACAGATCCTAAATCCTAAATAATTAAAATAAAAAGACAAAACGAAACCAAAATCAAACACCAAAATTGTACATTAATAAAAATAAAGACTAAAAGGATGTTTAATTTTTATTTCATTTCCTCTGCATCTAAAGATTTCATAACTTTCCATCAATATAAAGTTGTTAACAAAAAACCAAAAATTTACATACATCAATTGAAGGAAGAAATAAATGTTTAAATTATATCACAGAAAAAATATACAAGTAAGCACTTCTATAAATAAAAACTGTATGCACCAAAAAATATGAAATAAAAATAAATCATGTAATAAAATAATCTCTAACCCAAAAGAAATCTGAAAGGGGAAAAAAACAGCTTTGTGCACCAAAATAGTTCAAATGTCAGGGGAGATAATTGGTTCTAAAATCTCTATTTCAAGTTAATATCGCAACAAAAATACATTCATTCAGGTTGAACTTGAAATACAATCACACATTTGGAATAATGCCTTTAGTTCTCTGTTGCATTTACATCATTACAATAAAGCTAAATATCAAAATTGTCTTGCTAATTAATTCTACATGATTTATACTCCATTCTAACGCCATACTTTTAAAACAAGTACTTTTACATTACAGAACATTGATACTTATATAATTTTAAGAGGACTAAGTGTACAATCTCAATAATAAATAATCATCTATAGAGTTAAAAACTTACAATGTAAAATCTGTACAATAACTATATATATAAAGAAAAGCTGCGGTAAATGCTCATGTAACTGAGATTCTATGATAACAACATTGATGTTAGGGAATCAGTATTTCTATAACAAATCAGGTAGTAATGTTAGGGAACCAGTCTTTCAATAACCAATCAGGTTCTTTGCATACTTTATTTCAAAATGTTGTTCATTGGTGAAAAGCAGAAAATATCAAAGCCAAGTATTATGCTAAATTTGACCATTTTGCTGGATAATCTGAATTTAGTAGGCATGTTGGGCAACAAATAATGATTGTCCTGCAGCAGAACTACTGATGTCGCCCTTAAATTGTCCAACAGCTGCCAAACCATTTGCCTGAAATATACATTGAAATAGATTCATTAAAGTTAAAGAGCTACTTATAAAATATATATTAAAAGAAGGAAGAACAACCTGATTCTTCTCTTAAGAAATCTGCATTATTATTCAAACTGCTTGTGAACACTGAACAGTAAAGATTGCATTCATTTTGCAGTGGGAACCAAAAATTAAACATTGTATTGTATTGAGCATTGAAAGGCAATACCATCTTGGAATTGGTTCAACTATAATTTAAGACAAGGGAAGATAACTCAAATCTTAAATATTATTTTAACAATGGTGTTGATATTTTAAGAACAGAAACTAGTCATTCACCATGCCCAATTTATGTGATTTTTCTTGATAAGTATGGTTATACACATTAACATCGTTTTGCAACTAGAATATTTGAGTATTTATATTTCTTTGATGAATTTCTTGAAATGTTTGTGGATAGGATGTAAAGAATGTTGGGCTCAATGCACTATTTTTTTCTTCTCAAAAGTAGTGATAAAGTCTTAAAAATTGTTAACCACATGATGGTTTTGTTTGCTTGAATGCAATCTTTACCCCCAACTAAAAGAAACAAGAAGTACATACAGGAAACTGTTACTAGTGGGATTTCATTATATCTGATGATCAGCATTATTTTGTTTTGAATCAGGTCTCAATAAGATTACATTTATAAATTACATAGTCCCTGCAATCACATTTCTAAATTACTATTTCACATTTATCAATGCTGGCTGATCTACTAAGAAAATTTACCCTATAAGCTCTGTCTTCGGTATTACAAACTTACCTTAGCTCTATTCATGAGTTCTGTCTGTGCCGTTTTTATATTTTCGTCTTTTCCTTGCCAAGCTTTAAGTACAGAAGCTTGTAGAGCTCTGCCAAAAGAGAATGTAAGAGACCATGGTTTCTTCCCTTCACATGTATTGATGGCATTCAAATTAACTGAGGCATCATCTTCAGACTGACCTCCTGATAAAAAGGTTACACCTGAAAAATGAAGCATTCCTTTACTCATTTTTATACCGAGGTGTAAAATTGAAAAAAGCTTAAGAAGAATTTCTAGTACAAGATTTTTTCAACATCGATGTTGCTGTGTATTGTAAATATCAGGGCTCGACAATAACGCTTGTCCGATTGTCCGGTACCAGAGGGAAAAAGGGTCGGACAAGTAAAAACTATATCAAGCTTGTCCGACGGGACAAGTAAAATTATTCTGCAGAAAGTAAATTTAATCCAACTTTGATGAACAAAGTAATTATAAACAAAAAACAAGAAAAGAGGATGAAAACAAGACATGTTTACTTGCAATCGATAATATAAAACTTGTTCTTTGTCAGGTACTTTTTAACAGGTAAAATGCATACTATTCTCGGAAACCAGTCTTATTGATCCGAATCAGCATGCGCTTTGTAGATAAGGTAACTTTACAAGACAGTTCGTCACAAGCTCAGAAACGATTCGGCTCCAAGTTTAACATGTTTAATAGACAGTTTGGCACCATAGAAGACATATTTAATAGACATGATTAGTAGACAGTTTGGCAACGCAGGAGACATTTCGGGACCAAGACAAATCAGTACCTCGTTTTCCTACCTTATTCTGTTGCTTTATAATAAATAACATACCGGTAATTTTTTTAACAAAAATATTTTTTAGATAAAAATGAAAAATTATTTACCATTAAATTCACGAAATCATATTTGATCATATGTAGAAAAAAAACAATACTTGCAATACGGTGACCTATAGTTGTTAATTTATGTGTCATTTGGTCTCTTGCAGAGAGTTGTCTCATTGGCAATTATACCTCATCTTTTTTTTTTTATTGATTGCATTTGAATAAACTTTTTTCAACTTTAAAAAAAACAGGATACAAATCCAATGAGTGTACATTGACAGCCCTATCAGACGGTGCCTCATGTGCAGAATCTGATGAGACATTGGCATTGATGAACTACATGTAGAACCTAAGTCCTGTGACATGACTAGATTCAGTTGTATTCGACTCATACTTTTGAATAGTATTTCAAAAGATATAAATCAAATTCTGTTCTATTGTTTTAATTCATTTTGTTCCTTGAATCAATTTAAAATGCAAAAAAGGTTATTATTAAGATTTTTTTGGACAAGTTACAATTTCATTCGGACAAGTAAGTTTTGGTATGTACTTGTCCTACTGGACAAGTTGAAAAAAAAGTTATTGTAGAGGCCTGAATATTACCTTTTTCATATTTCTTTATTTGGGGAAATTTGGAAAATTTTAATGGTTTTTGGAATTTTTTTTTTAATATTTGCATTTTTTGGGTTTTTTTTTATTTATTTTTTTTATTTTTGCAATAAAGAAGAGAGGTTGGGAAGTTTTCCTACTTTATATTTAGACATCTTTTGTTTGGATTTATCTTGCAATATTGTAGTTCTAGATATCCTCAGCAGATTTCCTCAGATAAATACATGAAACTACTAACTATACAGTTCTATGGAGAGCTGACAATGTAGCTCTGGCATGTTCCTCAGTTGAGTTTCTGTAAGGACACCTCATTCTATCAACTATACATACCTGGAACTGCTGGTGGTACAGTTCTACTCAGAGCCAATACTGTAGCTCTGGCATTTTCCTCAGCAGAGTTTCTTTTAGAACAGCTCATTCCAGCAGTAACCATGTTAGGTTTAAGTAAAGTTCCTTCAAGGAAGACATGATGATCTGCCAAAGCTTTATATGTAAATGCTAACACCTAAAATGGTATAAATAAGTGTCTTATAAGGTAAAAATAATTTATATGGATATATTTTTGTTGAAAACATAAAACTTGCTGCATAATCACCCAAAACAAAACAACATGAAATGCCATACCCACTTAAATTTTCTTTACTGCCTGTATTTAGTAAATATGAATTTAAATCCAAAACAGATTTGTCATTTACATAAAAATTTCAAGAAACATTAGTCACTTTAAGTTATGAAGAATTGGGACTGTTTACCTGTTCTGTGACTTTTTGTGCTGTTGCTAGATCATGTTCTCCATCTGGTAATACTTCTGGTTCTACAATGGGTACCAGTCCATTCTATAATAGAAAATCCAAACTTTTCATCAACATAGTTATTACCTTTGGTGTAAATTTAAAACATTTATCAATAAGCCACTGAACAGTAGCAAAACCAAATTGGTGTGCAGTCAAGGGGAAGTAACTCTAATTGTTTTTTTTATTTTCTAACCAAACTTGATAGAAAAAAATAAAAACAGTTCTCCCAGATAAAAAGCAACTATCACTATATATTAAATACTGTCATCTTACAAATACCATTAAGACAGGACTCTTCTATTGTATGTACATCTATCTATACATGTATTAATTTTTTTTTTAATAGTACATGTAAGAACTATGACAACCGGAGATGAAATTCATTTACTTCATACCTGTTGACAGATGCTGGCATATCTAGCCAAAACATTAGCATTTTCTAACATTGCTTGATATGAGGGAGTATATTGTTGGATTTTTAGAACACATCGCCATTTAGCAAACTGAGCACCATCTTTCTTGTACTGTGCACATCTCTCAGAGAGACCGTCGAGACCTAAAATTTAAAAGGGAAACCAATTGAAATGCTGTGACCAAACCATGTTTACATGTTTATGTATCAATCTATTTGATTCATACAGTATTATTAGTAAACTGATCCAAAATTCATTAAATGTAAAGTAAGAATAACTACTTACACTGATGTTTGTCATTAAGTTATATATTGTAGAACTTTTTTGGTACTATTTTAATCATTATCAACTAACCTTATAAAGATAAAAACAAAAAAACTTGTAATTGTAACAGTCCCTTCCAAATCATAATAAAATTTCTTGAATTCCACAATTACTGTTGACGTTATAGTCTATCCAATTCAATATCACCAAAAAGATTGAAATGTGTGTTTTCTTTTAGTTACATCAGTAACATTTGTACTCATACAAACATGACAAGAACCACAAGTGGAGCAGGATCTGCTTAAAGTCGCAGCTTCTGAGATCATCCCCAGTTTTTCTAGGGGTTCGTGTTTCTGAGCTTTTAGTTTTCAATGAAGTGTTTTGTGAACTTGTATACCTTTTTTTTTTGGTTTTTGTTTTTTGCCATTGCGTTGTCAGTTTATCTGGACTTATGAGTTTTAAATGTCCCTTGGTATCCCTTCTCTGTTTGGTATGTATACCTACCCTGTGTAGTACATTCATTATCTGTTCCAGCCAATGGAACTACTCCTTTGTCTACTTTGATGCCTGGAATTATACCCTGATCCTGGAGAAGTTTGGGGAATGCCACACCAGCTTTGGTTTTCTGGTAAAATGTTTCGTGGAACATAATGACACCACTGATGTTTTGTGCCAATGATTTGTCACATGTGAACAGGAGTTCTCTGTAACGTCTCCTGTTCTCTTCCGTGTTCTCAACATTTATTGGTGCAAATCTCTTACCAATAGAACCTAAAATACAATCAAAACTGATGAAATCAATGTTTAAGTTTCACTGTATTGTATTTTTTTCTGATTGGTGTATATTTTCTCATGGTCTATGCATTAATTATAATCAGTACAAAAACAAGCTAAACTAAATCAACAAAAGGAAACAGAGAGTTTTTCATGTCGTTAATGAAGTTATTTTTATCAGAACATGGGTACAGTCAAACCTGCTATAAGGGTCACCTCTTTTAAGCTAAAACCTGTCTTGTCAAGGTGCTCCCTTCTTGTCCCAATGTAGTAATACCTATGCATTTTGAACCTGATTTCAAAGGTCACCTGTCTTGTAATGTCAGTTTTCTCTCGCCCCGGAGGGTGACCTATACATGTTTGATTGTATTTCCATTAATTATAAGGTGTACCTGTAGATTCATCAGCAGCTAATATTCCTTTACCAGGGGCAACAATGGCATTGGCAATCTTTCGTAGCTCATCTTCCTGTTCAGGTGAAAGGTTTTGTGGGAAACTTGGCATGGTTTTACTGAAAAATCAAATTAAATTTTCAAATCTGGAAGGTATAAAGGTTTGTTTTCATGAAATTACTCATACCCACTATTAAGTATAATAACAGAATAAAGAATTAGGTAGCAATAAACAGTTAGAAGTTAAGTTTCGCATTATGGCCATGGTGAATTTTTTAAATATGAAAGTTTTTGTACAATAAAATGGATTTTTAGATAGTTGAAGAATAATATACATTTGTAGCCTTCGAAGTGGGTTTATATGAACATTTAGATTGTTTTTAGCATGTTTTATAGGCCATTTTTCTATTTGACAGTCCGTATTTTCCTATCCGTACCGCCTATAGGTCCAGAAATTATTGTAGTGTTTATCAACAAAGATTTGACGCTCGATCTTTTCAATTTAATTTTATGGAAAAATGAGCAGAAAGGCATATGAATTTTTTTGGACCTCTTGATAGATAAATGTCTATGGTTTCAGGAAAGGTATCACTCTAATTGATTGAAATTTTCCTTTGGACCAAATTTTGGAGACTTTTGTGACATTTTCACCCCCCTTTTTGCAATATTTTGTATCAAATAAATGCAGATTGTTGCCATGGTTACACCAAAAAGAGATTATATTTCACCTTTTCAACTATTGAAAATGAGATCTATGGAAGATGCTCTTTCCAGAAATATACACAGTCATGCATAACACAAATTAGTAAGCCTTATTTATTAGATAGGAAGGAAAAGAGGGTGGTTAAAAATTAAGAGTGCCAATTTTAAGATTTTTTCTGAACTGTGTATTGCTACCTAACCTCTGACTGAAATAAAAAGAAGATAATAAATGTATTGTTTTACTAAAGTTTGGGTGGTTTTTGTCGAGCCTGAGATTTTTGTCGCAGAAAGTTCGACATAGGGATAGTGATCCGGCGGTGGCGGCAGCGTTAACCAACTTCTTAAAAGCTTTATATTTTCCAAGGTGGAAGACCTGGATGCTTCATACTTTGTATATAGATGCCTTATGTTATGAAGTTTCTGTCTGTCATATGTCCATTGTCCTTGACCTCATTTTCATGGTACAGTGACTACATGTACTTGAAAAAAGTTCAGATTTTTTGTAATGTTAATTTCTCTCTTATTATGAGTAATAGGATAATTATATTTAATATGTGCGTACCTTGCAAGGTCCTCATGCCCCTCAGACAGTTTTCATCTGACCTCAACCTCATATCATGGATCAGTGAACAAGGTTAAGTTTTCGTGGTCAAGTCCATATATCAGATACTATAAGCAATAGGTCTTCTATATTTGGTGTATGGAATAATTGTTAGGTGTACATGTCCAACTGGCAGGTGTCATCTGACCTTGACCTCATTTTCATGGTCCAGTGGTTAAAGTTAAGTTTTTGTGTTTTGGTCTTTTTTTCTAATACTATATGCAACAGGTCATCTATATTTGGTGTATGGAAATATTTTACAATGTACATGTCAGTCTGGCAGGTTTTATTTGACCTTGACCTCATTTTCACGGTTCATTGCTAAGTGTTTAGTTTTTGTGTTTTGGTCTGTTTTTCTTAAAACTATAACCAATGGGTCAACTTTATTTGTTGCATGGAATAATTGTAAGGTGTATATGTCTGTCTGGCAGATATCATTTGACCTTGACCTCATTTTCATGGTTCATTGGTCAATGTTAAGTTTTCATAGTTAAGTTTGTTTCTTAGATACTATAAGCAATAGGTCAACTATATTTAATGCATAGTTTGATCGTAAGGTGTACATGTCTGTCTGGCACGGTTCATCTGACCTTGACCTTATTTTCATGGTTCATTGGTCAATGTTTAGTTTTCCTGTTTAAGTCTGTTTCTTAGAAACTATAAGCAATAGGTCAACTATATTTGGTGTATTGAATGATTGTAAGGTGTACATGTATTTCTGGTTTGGTTTATCTGACCTTGACCTCATTTTCTTGGATCATGTTAAGTTTATGTGATACTTTTAGTAAAGCTTTATATTTAGGACTATCAACATAAAATCAATGGTCAGTAAAGAAGGCGGGACATTTCAGCGTGTGCACTCTTGTTAAACAACTTTAATTTTTTTTTCAAATTTTCTATTCTTTGTATGAACTGTGCAGCCATGTTCGAAGGTGGTTTCACAGGAAAGATTATTAAACATGTCTACAGAACTTTAGAATTCAGAAAAAGGAAAAGAATCATCTGTATTTTTTTTCATATACATGTATTTAAGAGGCAAAACTGACCCATATGTACCAGGGCCTAATCTAGGATTTTGAAGAGGGAGAAGTGACTTCTCCTTCCAAGAGAGAGAAGGGAGAAGTGGTCAATTTCTTGGAGAAGTGAGATTCCATTACCGTTTCGGTTGCATCGTGTTTTCATGCTTATCACTAAGGAAATTGTTTTATATTCAATAAAAGATATACTTGCAGTTTTTTCATATGTTATCGTACACAATGTATATATAGAAAGTTCTTAATAAAAAGGTTTAGACAATATATAGTACATTGTACATTGTACAGTACTCTTTTTTTATGCATAACCATTCTGCTAAATATTCAAGATTTATACATGTGCATTTGTAGATCATTTCAAACTAATATTATCATGATTATACACAAATTAAAGCAGTCATTTCCAAAGTGAAAAACAGATCAATACAGTATGTCAATCAACATTTAATATTCTTGCATGTAAAGTGTCTAAGATATATTCAAAATAGAGCATCTCTCACTAAATTTGTGCATTTACAATGTAAATAAAATAAGCGCATTGAAAGAATACATGTTTGTGCGATCTTACGTAAATTGTATGCCATCCTTACATAATATGTTCACCTGCATCTATGCAGTTGGTGCCAAGACACTGTAAATTTAATCTTGTAGTTAAGAAACACTGTTAAATATTACATGTATACATTTGTCATGTTTGTACATGTAAAAAATGTAGGTCACAAAAAATTAAGAAATAGATGCATGATATTATTTATTACTTCTTTGTAGCACTCTGATTTATAACTATCATGACTATAAACAGTCTCAAAACTATTCTCTTATGAAATTTTTCCTCAAATATGTCAGTGCTTTGCTGTCAGAGGTTCAATGGTCATAGGAACTTTACATATATGCAGTAGTATAAGTTTTTTAAGAAAAAAATCTATGTATTAGAAATTGTGATTTAAGATTTTAAGACAAATTTAAGAAGGTTTTTCGCTGATTTTATGTGCTTTCTATACAAATGTTCTCCTATTTTGAAAGAATTCAATCAGTAATATTTCAGATAATAAAAGAGATAAATACATTAATGCCATTATATTTTCTATTTTTAGTAACAGTTCAACAAGCCAAAGTAGTACGCAAAATTTTAGCAAAATCTGTGACATAGCCGATTCACTGTTCCTTGACCGTAATTAAAACTATGATGTGATATTTCCAGACAAAACTCAACTCCCAATGTCTCTCATGGAGTCAACTTCTTTCAAAAAAGATTCACATTATCAGTTCTGCCAACTTTTAATAATGCAAATGCGTGAGATTTGGCCAAAATCGTAAAGATCAAAGAGAAAAAAACAATAGATCAAAAGAAAATGCCGCCAAATAAGCATGAAAATGCGTGAGTCTCACGCTAAATGCTTGAGACTTAGCAGCCCTGCATTATTTAGAATATACATACATTTGACATTTTTGTACATAACCAAACTTACTGTTTAAAAGCTTCCTTCACTGACAACGGAATACACAAAATACTTCCTTACTAAACTTCTCTGTCTGAATATAAATATCTTGGCAATAAAAGTCCTTACAAATTACAATATATCAATAGAGAAGGTCACATACAAGATAGGAGGCAGGCGCATATGAAGGACAAGGTCGTATAAATTCACCTTCACGGCTTCAGCTGTTCTGAACGTGGGTCTGGCAATGTACCCTAAAACATTTATTCGAGCCCTGACATGTGCAGTCAAAATATCTTCAAAATGTTTGATCATAACCCTACAGATTATTAACATGAAATTAATTAAAATATGTATCGCATCACTGTCTGCAATATTACCTTAATTTAGTTAGCTTGTGATGAATCAACCTTGATCCTGTCGGCAACAAAAATACGCAACTTCCGTATTTTGATTATGACGTCTTCTTCTAGTAAATTCCTCCATTGCAGTCGGACAACCGGAAGTCCCTTTTAGGGCAAAATGTGATCCGTCTCTAATCAGTGACCTTCCGCCGTTTGAGATCTATTTCGTGCACTTTGTAAAGAAAAGAAGGTAGCCCCGAAAAGTAACCTTTCATCTTTTAGTTACGACTGAAGACTACTCATGCCGTTATTTGCAGAGAAAATTAAAAGGACGAATATTTATATCCTCAATAATCTCCTCGTTGTACAAAAGCATAAACAAAATAAAATAAAATGTTGTCGGAGCACCCGTGTTAGAAAGTTCCTAAAGCCCTATAAGTGAACGTCACGTGAGCTCATGAACACTAAATCGAAAAAGAAATATGACATCCAAGAACGTTGAATAAATGAAAATAAATTATATTTTAATGAATGACATATAGAAATACAAATATTTTATGGTACACACTCATCCGATAACAATACTGGCCGAATGGTTAAGACCTATTGCATATATAAATATATTAATTGACATGATAGAATGCAAAGTTGCATATTGATATATCAGATTTTTACACTATTCCTTATATTTAGACACTCTTATATGAAAGAGGAAGACAGTCTAAGAAATACTAATGCTGGGCTATTGTTTACAAAAATGCGATATTTTTCAACAGTGTTAATGTAAAGCTGTGATGATTTTAAATATAACATTTATTTTATTTCTAATATTTCTCGTTTCGAGGTTAATCTATTACATTGTAATAAGAAATGTTGTTAATCTTCAAATTCCCCCTTATTACAGACAGGACATTACCCGGCTTTCTTCTCTTGGAATATTAAGATGAATGTGCACTTATGCGTATTTTGCATATTGCTGCTCCATCATTTAAATTATTCAATAAATCAGCATATGATGGTCTTTAACCCATTGTGTAGACTTTACGAAAGAAACTAAGTTTAGAAGATTCCTGTATGTATCAGAAAGATGGAGGTGTTCTCTCTGTTCAAACCTAGTTGATATAGCTGGCTGTTTTCAATACTTACCGTAGATTCTTAGCATTTCTAATCTTATGATTAATTTAAAAGTTTTTATATGATCAATACAATTACATCTTTTTGTCGTTACATTCTCGATTTTAATTAAGTAGTGGGAGTTTATCTTAAAGTATATGAAACATTTTCTCACTCCAAAATTCTTGGTTACAGTTAAAAGAATTAAAAGAAAAAGAAAAAAATACAAAGTGAAATCAAAACCATACTTCAAAGAATGACAAACAATACTTTGACCAAAGAAACAGGACGAAAAGACAAACAGCTGTCTACATAACACAATACAAATCATTATTGTTTGATCAAAGCACATTTCGTCAAAACCCTGTGGTGATATTTCCTGTTCTACAACTGCCCATTCCATGTAAAAATCAAGTGATATTTGTCCCATTCCTTAATTTGATAGTCATGACGGTAAGATTAACGTTTTAAAAAATAAAAATGGAACGCATCAATAATTATATAAGACACAGAGGGCCCATAATAACAATTAATATACTAAGGCCTTAATCAGCTTTCGAAGAGATTACTCCAGGTTATCAATTAAGAACCTTTGGCTTTCTTCAAAGCAGAAATATACCAAGAAAAAAAAAATATTACCAAAAATACCGAACTCCAAGGTAAATTCAAAAAGAGGAAAGTCCATAAAACCTGACAAAATCAAACGTTAGACTTTTTCAACCAACGGGACGAAAGGAAAACTACTGTCATATTCCTGACTTGGTACAGGATATCATGAGATGAAACACAAGCCCAGTTTTATCATATACACTGAGAGACATTAACTCCATATTCCTCCAGTTACTACATCAAAAAAGGGAAGTTCACAATGGAAAATTAAAAGTCGAAAACGACAATTCTCAACCGACTCAAGTTGCAGTCGTTATTCAAAATATTAAGCTCACCTATTTCTATCTGTAATAAATTTAAGAAGCAGTAACTTATCGATGTTCAAATCTGATAAATCGATTCAGAAAATAAATAGTAACAAACAAAAACTGCAGAAATCGCATTAAAACCAAAGGAGCGAGACAGAGTTCATAAACTGGGCTAGCGTCTCCTGATATGCACGCATAATTAGACATGCCAATACACACTCAGACGACTAATCTGGTAACTTTAAAGAATTGATAGTTTCCAAAACATGCTGAATCGGTCAACCAATTCGATATGGTGACCGTTAAACTTTATATGTAGTGTCGATTTCATTCGAATCTAGAGTGCTTGTATCTTTATATTTACCTTTCTAGAATGATCATATCATAAAATGTAATATTTTGTATGCTGTAGTTTTTTACTAATAAACACTGAAGTGAGAATTCAATCTAATTAAAATATAGATCCTGATTTCGTTATGCTCATATGACGAGCACGCGAGTCCGATAGATCTGCCTGAATTTTAATCAGATTGCATGGTGAAAATTCTAATGAAAGGGTTTATTGTTGAGAATTCTAATGTAAGGGTTTATTGGTGAGAATTCTAATGTAAGGTTTATTGGTGAGAATTCTAATGTAAGGGTTTATATTCGAGAATATATATATGAGAAATTTACAATAATTTGCAAGGAGCACGCCTTTATCTCTTTAAATTCATTTTTTTTTAAATATGTTATTCAATTTTTAAATGCTATTAAATACCTATTGTAATTGATATTATTATACCTCAGTATGTTTTTTCTATATAAAAAATAATGAAATATTTGTGCTATTTCATTCCACAGACTATTTGCCAGTCAATAGTTTCAAAGACTATTACCCCGGTTAATAGTTTCATAATCATCTTTCCCGTACTTTTTCATGCTTATTTTTCATTGGACAATAATGATGTCATTGACTATTTTGCTTGGCAACGTCAAACTCTAATATTGTAAACGGTATAATCTGTTTGTGTCGATTGTAATTTCACTTACAAGAAGCAATTATAAAAGAGAGAAAATCTTCGAGCGCATTTTTTAAAGATCTAAAATATAGTACCTTATTCATAATATGGCTTCGGTCGTCGTATTCTAAAAGCGAATTTGCGTTTGGTGTACTTTAGCTTAAATTTATCATATGCACGGAAAATTTAACACAAGTATTTCTAGTCTTGATTGCAATTAATGAAATATTTACAAACACAAGAAGAACTACAAAAAAACGTATAGTTCATCTTGTGCATGTCAAGTTATGTGACATTTTTTTCTTTTCTTTCAGATGATATATGTACACTTTTAGAAAATTAGTTAATTTGGTATATAAAAACACTTAATGACTGTGTTGTTCAGTATAATAAAACACCTAATAACTGGTTGTGCGGGTAATAGCAAGTTTGTAGTCCCTTCGCCTCGAGCAATAGTTGGTATCTCAGGGACAACAAACTTGCTATTACCCTTACACCCAGTCAATAGGTGTATACTGTTGACTAAATAAAGACTGGGAAGGCATGCTAAGGTAACTTTTTGGCTCCTTGAATTCTAAAATCAAGAAGTATTATAAATTGACCAAATTAAATCATTCAGATGTTCATAAAACATTAGTATGGCAAATATTAGTATTCAAGGTTTACATTTTGTCTTATATATTTGCAATAAAGCTTAAAACTTCTTGAATTTAGCGTAAAATTACAAAAACTGTCAAAATACCTATTGTAATTGATACTGTTGACTAAATAAAGACTGGGAAGGCATGCTAAGGTGACATTTTGGCTTCTTGAATTCTAAAATTAAGATCAAAGTATTATAGATTTACCAAATAAAAAAAACCTGCCGAAATAGCCTCATTTTGAGATCTTGTCATTAATGTTTAGATATATGAGCGACAGCTTTATACAAAATTACCTTTTGCTGCAAAACATGTTTTATATACATGTAAATGCGAGTTGAATAATATCTTTTGGGGTAATGCAGTTGCTTATTCTATTTTGTCCAAACGTTACATGCGTAAAATGGCCATCTGTTGTCAAATATGTCAGGTTCAACTAGTTTATGACGCAATAGTGTCATTATAAGTTAAATGTTTGCACTTATAAGTGTCCATATTACATTGGTTGTTCATTTTTCAATTAAATTAACATAATTTTGAAAGTCCAGCATAATTTTATTATTTTTGTAATTTCAGGGGCCAAATAATTGCTCTTAGCATGTCTCATTTTTTTAATATCTAACCAACTGCTAGCAATCAGTTAGATATCGAAAAAAAAAAAAACAAAAAACAAAAAACGAATACCAAATCGACTGCTTACTCCAAATACATAAGTTCTGTTACATATACTACTTCATTTTCACATTTAAACGTAATTTGTTTATCAAAACTGTCTTGTAGACTTCCCGAATCACATACTCTATTCCGATATGGTAACAGATCACAAAGGGACAATCTCAAGTTTATCGATGAATTTGGCATGCAACTTTTGTAAATGTTATGTTGACAAAAACAATATATTAAACTTATGCTGTCCGAGGTATAGCAAATTAAATGGCTGTAAAATAAGAATACAACCGCATACAGTGCACACATACATTTAGCAAAAAACAGTCCATCAAGAATGAATATTACTTATGATTTCTCGAAATAATTATAAAGGGACAATCTCACAGATATCGATGAATTTGGCATGCAACTTTTGTGATCATGTGAATATTGACAAAAACGATATATTAAACTTATGCTCATCATAAATTAAAGGTTTAGAAAATAATATATCTGTAAAATAAACATACAAATGCATAGAATGCACATAAATATATATGTAAAAACAGTCCATCAAGTTTGAATATTATTTATGATTTCTCGAAATATGGCCTACGAAAACACGTAAATATATATAAATTTATGTTATGTTACCACTGACATTTCCGTTTTATCTAATATATTATTAGATGTAATGGAAGGGGATACTTAATTCTGTTGTAGGAATAGTTAAAAAGCGCCGTAAAGGCAATGTGCAAAATATAAGCATGACGTCTTGACTGCATAATGAATCGCAATCTGATTATTCCACGTATTTATTTTGCTCGTATGAATAATTTATAAAGCCAATTTAAAATGTAATATCAATGTACCGGAGTTTTAGTTATGAAATATATCATATATTTAGAAAATTCGTTGGACAGGTTATTGACAAAAGGAAATTTGAAGTCAAATTATGAAATGTGTTTAGCGATATTAACTTATCTCCTATACATTTTTACATCAATCTGCAGGATGTTCAATTTGCCCGTAAACATATGGGTAAAATCTCATAAAAGATAGTAGGCTTATAATGACTTGGTACGCCTGACGCTCGTTTTGTCTACATAAGACTCATCAGTGACGCTCGAATCGAAACTGTTGGAAAGCCAAATCAAATACGAAGTTGAAGAGCATCAAAAACTGAAAATTCCGAAAAGTTATGCTAAATAGAACTAAAGCAATATATGCCAGGGAGAAGTGATGCTAAATAGGACTAGAGCAATATATGCAAGGGAGAAGTTATGCTAAATAGGACTAAAGCAATATACGCCAGGAAGAAGTTATGCTAAATAGGACTAAAGCAATATATGCCAGTGAGAACTTATGTTAAATAGGACTAAAGCAATATATGCCAGGGAGAAGTTATGCTATATAGGACTAAAGCAATATATGCCAGTGAGAAGTTATGCTAAAAAAGACTAAAGAAATATATGCCAGGTAGAAGTTATGCTAAATAGGACTAAAGCAATATATGCCAGGGAGAAGTTATGCTATATAGGACTAAAGCAATATATGCCAGGAAAAAGTTATGCTAAATAGGACTAAAGCAATATATGCCAGGGAAAAGTTATGCTAAATAGGACTTAAGCAATATATGCCAGGGAGAAGTTATGCTAAATAGGACTAAAGTAATATATGCCAGGGAGAAGTTATGCTATATAGGACTAAAGCAATATATGCCAGTGAGAAGTTATGCTAAAAAGGACTAAAGAAATATATGCCAGGTAGAAGTTATGCTAAATAGGACTAAAGCAATATATGCCAGGGAGAAGTTATGCTATATAGGACTAAAGCAATATATGCCAGGAAAAAGTTATGCTAAATAGGACTAAAGCAATATATGCCAGGGAGAAGTTATGCTATATAGGACTAAAGCAATATATGCCAGGGAAAAGTTATGCTAAATAGGACTAAAGCAATATATGCCAGGGAGAAGTTATGTTATATAGGACTTAAGCAATATATACCAGGGAGAAGTTATGCTAAATAGGACTAAAGCAATATATGCCAGGGAGAAGTTATGCTAAATAGGACTAAAGCAATATATGCCAGGGAGAAGTTATGCTATATAGGACTAAAGCAATATATGCCAGGGAGAAGTTATGCTATATAGGACTAAAGTAATATATGCCATGGAGAAGAAACACCCTTTGCGTATCAGATAATTCAACATTTTATAAATCATTTTTTAACAATTAATACACCAATTGCCTTTTTAACTGTTTTATCTCAATACACATTCTTATCTTACCTCCTATACATATCTAGGAATATGATTGGTTAAAAGCGACCGCGTGGAGACCGTGTATAATTCGTATGGGATTAGTAGGCGTGGTTTATTTTAATACACGGTTAGTAGTGGTGTTACGTCCATATACAAGACAATATCTCAATACACATTCATATTCCTACGAGCATAAATTTGAGTAAATATCACCAAGTGTAAAACAGTAATACAATAAACTAAACAGAAAAAAACAGGCTCATTTTGTGGCTTGTGATAATGATTTGGATTAAATGAAATAAAAGAATTATAAATTTCGTGCGTCTGAAGCGTTTTTTTTATTAACCTTCAGGAATGCTAAAACATAAATATTCGAAAACCAGGGATGCGTAAATACGCCACAACGTTTTCTCCGATTGAAGAAACTATCAAGCCCAATTATGTGGCTAACGATAATTTTACAGATTTCTGAATGTTTTAACTCTTACCTATTAGTTAGAAAGATAAAATAATAATGCTTTCATTAAAACTAAACAAGTCATGCAATTTCTGATTTATTGATAAATAACCCACATTTTACCTGAGGTGTAGGTTATTTAGTGTCAGGATATCATCAATATATCAGATGTTGCAATAAAATATCTTTGCAAGAATTTTTTTCTGTTCTTCTTGAAAAATATTTTGTATAAATTCTTCTTCATATGAGTGTAATTGCGATTAAGAAACATAGGAAAACATGTAAATATTAGTCGGAAAAGGACTTAACTCATAAGATTGACACGAACCACAACAAAAAACTGAAGAAGAACGAACACAAAATAAACCACAAAGCACTGACCCAAGACCACTCACAGCCACTGAAAGACCAAAACCAACCCAACCTATTAATATCCCATGTTTTCCAACACCAAAATATTAACAAGCACACATCCAACCAGTTAATGCAAAGATGTCATAAACAAAATGTGAAAAACATGACCTAGTAAAAAGCCGAAAAACAAGCACCGACAGGACATAGGACCACCAGTGCCCTTAAACAAACACAACAACACGCAACAAGTCATGATTCAATAGACAAAAAAAAAAAACAATCACTTTAGCACTGGCAAAGACATATGCTCGTCAACTTGTACTTTATTTGGCCTTTCAAGTTTTTTTATTCGATCGTCACTGATGAGTCTTTTGTAGACGAAACGCTCGTCTGGCGTACACAATTTTAATCCTGGTATCTATGATGAGTTTATTTATATGTTCATATCTGCCACTTTCAACTGATTTTCATAGCTTGTTCTTATGTTGTGATGTTACATCACTGTTTCAGGTTAGGTCACGTCAGGATTGAGCGCCTGAAAACATTTTACGCCGCCAAACTCTTGATAAGGCCTGTCCAAAGTCAGGAGTCTGTTATTTAGTGGATGTCTTTTGTTGTTGGCTGTCATATTTATTTTTCGTTTATTGTTTTGTCATAATTGGTTTTCTTGTTTGAATTGTTTCGCATTGTGTCATGTCGGAGCTTTTTATTGCTGACTATACGTTATGGTTTTTGCTCATTGTTGAAGGCCGTACGGTGATATATACTAGCTTACATGCACGTCATTTGAACTCTTGGAAATAGTTTTCTCAGTAGAAATTATATCAAATATCCTTATTTTATTATATCAATATGATATATTTGCAAACCTAACCATGTTGTGAGAAAACATACAACAGATTCATTATTATTTGTGATGTACCAGTTTTCGTGGATTTCGTGTGGGTATGGGTAAAGTACGAATTTAAAAGTTCAATGAAGTAAACAATTCTGATAGGCTTGTATCTAGACTTTGGCATATACACGAAATCAATTATATACGAAAGCACAATTTTTCTTCAATACAAAATTGATACCGAAGTAAAATAAACAAATCCACAGTAGGCAAAATAAGAATTGTAAATTATAATTATAAATTTACTGTTTACAAAAAATAGTATTTTTCTAAATAATAAGGATTTTCTACCTCAGGAATAGATTACCTTAGGTATATTTGGCAAAACCTTTAGGAAATTTGGGACTTAAATGGTCTTCAACTTCGTTTATTATTTGGCCTTTTAAATTTTTTTTATTTGAGCGTCGCTGATGGGTCTTTTGTAGGCGAAACGCGTACAAAATTTTAATCCTGGTATCTATGATGAGTTTATTTATAAACATGTGAATGTATTTTAATGTGGACGTGATATGCATGTAGTTGTCAGGCCATCTTTGTTAGAACGTTCGCCTTGTGTGTATAAATGTTGCGAGTATATTGGATTTGAATTGTGATATTAACTCGATGTTATATTTAAATGGGACATCGATTGATGTTGCACAGGTAGCAAATACCGCTGTGAGTCAATTGAAAGCAAAGTACAAATATTCGCAGGGTATACTTTTTTTTATATCTTTGTAAGACGAGATTCAGAAAAATGATAAAACTTGTAGAACAACATGTTCATCAAATAAACATATATATTCTGTAGAATTGGCATTAAAAGATCCACACAATGCTTATTATCAAGTTTATTTTTTGACATTCTTGAAATCATGGACAGTCGACGTTTTTCCAGCCACACACACTTCCCGTTCTCTTGCATAATCCCTTTTTACGATAACAATCAGTGTCAGTGTTCAATCCTGAGGGAAGCTTACAACCTTTACTTGGGTCAAATTTTCCAGGTTCGTGCCTAGGATTTACAATTTCCTAAATAAGAGAAATAATGATATTTGCATGAAATAAAAAAAATTATCTCACAATTTTTTATGTACTACAACTTGTTTAAAAGGCCTCTAACTATCGCTTAAACTATTACATCTACTGTGCTTTTCATACAGACAATCACAAATCATAAGTCGAAGAAAAACCGACAATACCATGCAAAAAAAAACCCACAACACAACATAGCAAAATAAAAACTGAACAGTACGCACCCCATCATAAATAGGAATGAACTCAGGTGCTGAAGAACTGTAAGCAGATTCCGCTCGCTGTGTGACATGCGTCTGGTTGCTCATGTCAAGCCCTTATTCGCTGATAAGTCTAACTTCCGTTTACCTTTTTTTACAATGCAAAACATAATGCCTGATGGTTAAAGCGTATAAGTTTTAGTAACTGGTACGCTTCCGTTGTTTGGTGGTAGTATGTTGCGTAGACGAAACACATGGCTATTGAGGAATATGCTCTCAGGTTCGATCCTTTCATGAGGCATTAGTTTTTAATAAGTAAGTAACTTATAGGTAATAATTTAATTTCAAATGGCAGTGTGTTCTAGTAAACTTCAGTTAGAACAATAGACTGACGTCAGACAAACGGATAAAACATTAAATAACTGCCATATTTCGGACTTGGTATAAGCATTTTCCGAAGAAAATAAGGTTAAACCTGTGTTTTTTAGCTAGCTAAACCTTCCCAATAAAGTAACTTTATTACAAAAAACTTGATTCACAGCGTAAGTATGAAGAATTAATTTATTCGTTTATTAAACAAAATAATAAAATTTGGTCCAAGTTAAATCCTCTTAACTCAAACCGACGTGAAGGATTTTTAGGATAATACAAAACCGAAATTTTCTTCATCAAAAAAGGACCTTTAAAGTAATAGCTGGTTAAATATTGAACCGGGAATTTGAAAATTGTAAAGAGAAATATATAACGTTGAAAATAACATACTTGCTTTTCATTAGATATGATACCCATGGTATATATCACCTTAGCTGTATTTCGTTTTTTTTTTTAAATTTGGGTCCTCAATGTTCTTCAGCTTCTTATTTTATTTGGCTTATTGTATTTTTTTATTCGAGCGTCACTGATGAGTCTTTTGTAGCCGGAACTTTGATATTGACGCTAAGTGAATTTTACGAAAAAGTTGATAATTTTAACATTATATCTTTTAATTGTCTTAAAAATCAAAAGCATTAAGTCATAATAAAATCAAAAGTATGTTAAGTTATTAAAGGCTAAGGTAACATTTTACAAATTCATTAACTTATTCTATTAAAAATAAAATAACAAAAATACCGAACTCCAAGGAAAATTCAAAACAGAAAGTCCCTTATCAAATGGCAAAATCAAAAGCTCAAACACATAAAACGAATGGAAAACAACTGTCATATTCCTGACTTGGTACAGGCATTTCCTTATGTAGAACATGGTGGATTAAACTGGTTTTATAGCTAGCTAAACCTTTCACTATATGCGATAACTGTTTACGAGTCTTAGGACAATTTTCAATATACTAGAAAGTACAATTCGGAATCTAAAAAAAGTATTGTACTTACTTTACAATCACAGTTTTGTCTGTATGAATCAGAACCACCACTGAAAAAGTACATCATCAACTCAAATGTAACATCAGCGTCCTTATAAATGAAGTTTCCACATGTCAAGGTAGATATCGTTCCTGTTTTTTTATCCCTGTGACCTGAAATAATTTTTTGTTTTTGTTTATACTACTGTAACATTTTATGCTGTTTAATTAATGTATTCATCCGTTTCTTGTGTAGAAACATTTGCTTGTAAAATCAGTTCATACTTATAGAAAATACATTTGTATAATTGATCTGCTACCAATTAATATGACTATTAATATATCTGTTTTCATTCAAAGTACTTTTTTGTTCTTATACCATGCCATTTACATGTTATAAAATCTGTTCCCCTGAAATGTTTAAAGTAGAATTACAAAAATACCGAACTGCATGACATTGAAATTGTATGAAAATATAAATAACACTTTATAACTATGATACGTCCCTAGAAGGGCCTTCATCAGAAACTCTCAAACCCAAAATAATGACAGCCAATGATGTATAAGTACTTGAACACGTGAGTAGTTATATGACCAGAAGGGATAAAAGAAAGAGTAGCAAAATACATCTAATCCAACTTAAGGATGTTCGCTACTCTGTTTTAAAATAACAAGCTTTTTAAAAGACTGTTATAAAATGATAGTATATAAATGAACGAACAATAAATGCAGAAACTAGACGCTCTAAAGAGCCTGTGTCGCTCACCTTGGTCTATGTACATATTAAACAAAGGACACAGATGGATTCATGACAAAACTGTGTTTTGGTGATGGTGATGTGTTTGTAGATCTTACTTTACTGAACATTCTTGCTGCTTACAATTATCTCTATCTATAATGAACTTGGCCCAGTAGTTACAGTGGAAAATATTTTGTAAAAATTTACAAAAATTTACAAAATTTATGAAAATTGTAAAAAATTGACTATAAAGGGCAATAACTCCTTAAGGGGTCAATTGATAATTTTGGTCATGTTTGACTTATTTGTAGATCTTACTTTGCTGTACATTATTGCTGTTTACAGTTTATCTCTATCTATAATAATATTCAAGATAATAACCAAAAGCTGCAAAATTTTCTTAAAATTACCAATTCAGGGGCAGCAACCCAACAACGTGTTACCTGATTGGTCTGAAAATTTCAGGGCAGATAGATCTTGACCTAATGAACAATTTTATCCGTGTCAGATTTGCTCTAAATGCTTTGGTTTCAGAGATATGAGCCAAAAACTGCATTTTACTCTATGTGCTATTTTTTAGCCATGTCGGCCATCTTGGTTCGCGGGCGGGGTCATCGGACACATTTTTTAAACTAGATACCCTAATGATGATTGTGGACAAGTTTGGTTAAATTTGTCCTAGTAGTTTCAGAGGAGAAGATTTTTTGTAAAAGATTACAAAAATTTACGAAAAATGGTTAAAAATTGACTATAAAGGGCAATAACTCCTTTAGGGGTCAACTGACCATTTTGGTCATGTTGACTTATTTGTAGATCTTACTTTGCTGTACATTATTGCTGTTTACAGTTTATCTCTATCTATAATAATATTCAAGATAATAACCAAAAACAACAAAATTTCCTTAAAATTACCTATTCAGGGGCAGCAACCTAACAACGGGTTATCCGATTCCTCTGAAAATTTCAGGGCAGATAGATCTTGACCTGATTAACAATTTTACCCCATGTCAGATTTGCTGTAAATGCTTTGGTTTTAGAGTTATAAGCCAAAATCTACATTTTTACCCTATGTTCTATTTTTAGCCATGGTGGCCATCTTGGTTGGTTGGCGGGAGGCCGGACACATTTTTTAAACTAGATACCCTAATAATGATTGTAGCCAAGTTTGGTCAAATTTGGCCCAGTAGTTTCAGAGGAGAAGATTTTTACGGACGACGGACGCAGGACGCCGGACGACGGACGCAGGACGCCGGACGACGGACGACGGACGCCAAGTGATGAGAAAAGCTCACTTGGCCCTTTGGGCCAGGTGAGCTAAAAATGAAGGGTCCGTGTGCTTGCTTTCAAAGTATAAGCCATTGAAAATTTGGTGGGAAATGATTCTCTCTAGATTTTTCATACATTTAACATTGGCACCTTTTTTCTTTCAAAAACAATGAAAATATCACAAGGATTTTATAAGATTTTCAAATATATCTTTTTAAACTATATGTTATAAAATTTTGAAAAGAAAAGTAGGGTTTACGGGCAAAATTTTAAATGGCACTACATGGATAAAATCAGAGGATTTCGAATATCTGGCAAAAATTCAAAAACAAGAGGAGCGAACATCCTTAAAACGAATGCATTAAATATATATGCAATTTCTCAATGAAACATTTCAATGATGTTGACTCAAAATTTTAATTATTAATAATACCACATATATAACATTGATATTCAATGACGAACAGATCGAATACTTGTTCGTATGTATCATTAAAGGAACAAAATATCATATAAATTCATACAATATAAATCATTTGTAAAATTTGGATACTAATTTAACTGCAAAGGATATAGTTTCTAGAATATCACATATCAAGTACCCACAAAACATACATCAGGGATCAAGGGGCTTCTAAACTTGAATAAAAACAACCATCCAGAGTCAAATTTGGAAGAAGCATTTTTTTTTAAGAAAGAGAGAGAATTGAATTATTCTGAACTAAAAAAAATACAAACAGCTAAGAAAGACTATTTATCACTGTAGTCATGTCAGTAACAAACTAGTCACTGGGCGTATTAAACTTCTGGACTGTTTTACGAATATCTAAACCATGTTAAAGTTTTGGTGTTATTTTGTACCTGACAATAAATACTGTTCTCCTTCAGTCAATCTAGTACCACATTCCGAAGTAGAGAATGGCATCTCTATAATGATTGTTGAACCAATTTTTTCATGAACACCCTGAAACATTCAAAGTATATTTTAGCATCGATATTAAAACATTAAAAACAATACTTTTGGTCGAATAAATTGCAATTACTTTCTAGTTACAACGTAATTTCCTTTGTTATAAATAGGGGAAAAGATATAAACAAAGTATGAACCAAACGTTAATAAGACCAATTTTATACAATATACAAGTGTACACCGGATCAGCATGATGATGTCTAATTTTCCCGAATCTGGAAGATTTGAAACAAATTCGACTTCAGAAAGGCTGTTTGCACAGCAATGTGCTCATTGAACAAAACGAATTATGGCTTTTGTTTATTTGACATTCAAATTGAAATGTCAGATTGACTTAATATTTCTCTTAGACAATACCTTACATATTGATCTTCTATGTGTATTTTTCTCTAAAATAATCATTAAATGCCCTGATTATTTTACACCACCACTGTAAATAACAAGTCCATTACAAACAAAATATTCGATCTGTTCATACGAAACCTTTCTGAGTGTATGGAATTATTTTTTTGTTGATGTTGCAATATATTCTGTCAATCTTACCTTCAACGACTTAAGAAGTCTAAAGTGATATTTTATGTCAGTTCTTCCCTTAGGAAGTTCCTCTTTTGTTACTCTCCCGACCAGTACTAAAAAAAGGGATAAAACATAGCTATAACGTCACATAATCAAATCAGACACAGACACCTCTATAACCATAACATCACAAGAAAAACCCAACCTTTATATACATATTTTTTTTCTTATTGATTAAAATTTAGGCATTTACTGGACGTTATTCCTACACGATGGAGAAAATAAACCGAACTTGAAAAACCCAGCTTTCGACTCCTTTGAACAATATGTCATGTGTTGGAACACTGGTGAACACGGAAATCAATTGTATTTAGTTCCCAAAATTACTTCAGATTCTATTTTTAAACTATAAATACATCATGCTTGGGGGAAAATACATCATTTAATTTCCAAAAATCATTGGGACATAACTTTTTCCAGTTTTTTATATCATAATACGGTTCAGACCGTTGTCAATGTGGTTTGCATACTCCCAAAAGCTTTATTTTAATCATTTTAGTCGTTTTACGGGATTTGAACATCAGTAAACTACTGTCTCTTTAATTTGTGGTAATGACAAGTTTATGATACCTATTTTCGTTCTCATGACAATTAATATTTTATTTCCTTTCGACTTTAAACATTAAATACCATAACAAGGGCCCAACAAGAGCAACTTAAAACTTCTCTTGTTATGTCGGGGCTGATTGTTTCCTAGCAGAGGTACCTAGCATTTTTCAAAAATACTTATAAGTACTTTTTACTGTGCCCCATTTCAAGTGTTTCTGAAATAATTCACCATGATCACGTTTATTTTTCCAACACACTTGCGGAGGAATATATCTCAAAACTCCAAACATGCGTTGATTTTAGTTTGTGCACAATGCCGCCATTCATAAGGAGATCAAGTAAAAGACAATCTAGTTGGCTAATCTTTTATGTATTCTATTATTTCCCATGGGAAAATTTTTAAAAAGGGAATCATCAAATTGTTCTTGTAGCTTTTCACCAAATCGTAGGGGCCGTTTTTTTTGTATGTTAATTTTTTGCTTTTTTCACGATGCAATCAGGACAAGGGATTGAAATAGTGCAGTTCATGCCTCAATCGTGTATGTTTACAGGTATGTTGTGGACCTTTTTTTATTGCAATTGTCATACAGACCGCATAAATAGCTTGCCCTATTCATACAGTATTTTCTGTCAAGTAATCTGACATTTACCTCGACGTTGTCTAAGTTTCGAACTGTTCTCGTTTTTTTAAGTGGCATTATTGGTATTTTTTGGACAATATTTGTTAGATTTTGTGCTGTTCCATTAAAGACAAAGTTATTACAAACGTAACATTTATCCTTAAAAACACTGTATATTGAAAGCGATTGGAGATACTCGAGTGAAAGATTAACTTTTGTAACTTCTCAGAATTCGAATCTGTTTAAGACACAGACAATGTGGCCACGATTTGCCCACAAGAACATGACATCTTTGCTTTCTTCTTTCTGTTCTGACAATTAATACATCAGTCAATGATATTTCAGCTTTCAAATTTTTGAAGGTATGTATCATTACAACCAAAACAGAGGATCCAGAACGGTCTTTAAAAAAAGGAGAAACGGAGCTTTGTAAGATCCCTGTAAGCGAAGTGTTGACACAGGATATGCATTTCAATCAATCGGACAGATTTATGAATATGCCACTATTGGGAGAATTCGTATTAAGAATTCATGCAAAAGTATTTGGCAATCAAAAGCAAAAAGATAATAACAAGGCTGATAGAAAGAAGTTCAAAATTCGAGGAAAAAACATGTACAATTTAACTGTGTCTCTGCGTTTGAACTACTGACTGTCTGAGTTTTAAAGGACCCTGCCAAACATTTGTTATTAATTTTGACTCAAGCAATACGACTAATTCTAGGGTTTAGTATAGGATTAAACACATTTTTTCTAGAGGTTATTGATGTGTAAACTGGGGCGATTAACTCACAAACTGAGTAAAAGTCCGAATTTTATAATTCATTCAAGCCAATAGAATCTTAGCTACGTAACAGCCTATCAAAACTAACTGGTTTTAAGTAATAATTGCAAGATAGGGTGTATAAAAGAATTTTTTTTTATATCAAACGTAAACGATGTATGTTCAAAATAAGTCGAACCCCGTGCAGACGTTGTGAAGATAAAATAGATGCAAAAATAATTTTCACTGAATAAAGAAGATATTTATTCTGTTTTAACTTTCAGTCATTTGAAAAAAAATTCTTCATTTCAAAGCTTCAATAACATTCATATATACAATGTTGACAATGTTTTTTTTCGAGGGATAATAATCTTCCCTATCACCCTCTCAGCTTTGTATTTTTCAAATTTAGTATACTGAATGTTCTTTAAATTCTAAATAGAAAGTAATGAAACTATGACTGCATGTACATAACAACTAGTACGGTGAAAAGTAAGGTAAATTAAAAAAAATCATGAACCGAAATACTTCACGGCTAATTTCGGTCATATTGTGATGATAAATATAATATTTGATTAAGGTCTGTCGTAGAGTGCCAAAGTGGTGCAGATTAATTTTGAAAATTGTGGTCAATGGTCAGAAGGTTGGATTTAAAAAAAAATCGTCATTTTTTGTCATTTTGGACAATTTAAATAATAAACAATATAAAGACATTTTTGGGAAAGTTTTGTTAACATGCCATAAAGAACAAAGGAGAAATAAGTTCTGTAACATTAACACCCGGTCCATGATTCAATGGAAAAAAATGACGAAATTCATAATTGGTTATTTAAACCAAAAAGAATGTTGGATCTATAAAGCATATTCTTGATGCACGAATGTCAGCATGAACACGATAGTATACGAAGGTTTTTTTTATGTACAAAGGTCAATCAGTACAAGAGCAATAACATATTGAAAACTTATGTCCCTTTTTATAAAACAACACACACAATGGAATATATAGCAGACTTGACTAAAACAGATTTTAAAGCCAGATATATATATGAATTACAAACAAACACGATTGACAGAGTTAACGATACAAAGGAATTCGTCTAGGTATATATTACACTAACACGAGACATCAATATGCACGTCCATTTGAAAAGGTAACGGAATACTAATAAAAAAAATATGTCGATGTCACGGTATGTTATACTTCCGAAATATTCGATACAAAAAAGTCTGATGCCACAAGCAGAAAAAAAAAATGAAATATGGGCACTGCGATTAATAGTCAGTTGATGCCGGCCTCCGGGTGCGTGACTTTCCCGCTGCATTGAAAACCCATTGGTGGCCTTGGGAGGTGTTCTGCTCTTTGGTCGGGTTGTTGTCTCTTTGACACATTCCCGGTTTCCATTCTCTTTTCCAATTTTTACAATACCCATACCATCTCTGATTAGGGGTGTACGTGTTTTTATTGTTGAGATATCACCCACTCAGCTACAGTGGTCCTTTTCCGTACAGTATCACATGAGAGTGCATTGTAATCATTCTCCATATGAAAAAAAATTGTCATCTATTAACCAGGCAAAAATATTTATCAGAGAGATAGGAATAAATTGTGAAGCTGTAGGAATACAAACTTCTGACCGAGAAGGATAGTAATCATTTGAAATTTCGGAAGAGCCGTAAACTGCTATTCACAATTTTTCCCGCATCATGCAGGGTCTGATTTGCAGAGTTCTTGGGGAGTATGTAATCAATTACAAAACTTGTTTATGTCTCTGAAAATTTTAATTCCGCTTTCAAACAACTGGCAGCGCGAAATGCCTCGAAAACACTTATTGAGCTACTAAAAATCATATTTGATCTGCCCTGTCCCTTGTCCTCTTAGTGATTTTCTAGTTTGTGCTGTAGTTTAGCAGTTGTATACTTACTACACATTTCTTCTGGAAGAAAGGAATAATATGTATCTAGCAAATTTTACGACAATGAAATGCTTTTTTCACAAACAGATCATCGTGTAGACTTTCTGTTAGTTTTTGGAAAGCAAAATCATGCTACGACTCATTTGAAGCATCAGAAACAAGTTTATTTTTTTCTAATTTCAGCGCGAGTAGTTAACAATGCATGCTGAATGATGCTGCGTCTTGTCCTTGATGTAATCTATAGAGAGTAAACTTACCATTGGATAGTTGGACTGGTGCTTTGTGGCATTTAAAACTTAATCGGCACACTCAATTGACTCGACATGCCTTAATTTCTTATCTCGTTTTTATACGCCCGTCAAAATTTTGACGGGACGTATTATGGTATACAAATGTCGTCTGTCCGTCTGTTAGTCTGTCCGTCTGTGTGTCCGTCCGTTTGTCCGTCTGTCCGTCTGTCTGTCCGGCGTAAACATGTCGCACCGCAACTTGAGAACGACTTATCCAAATTTCATGAAACTTTAAATAGTTGTTTCTTATGATGGTCAAACGATCTGTATACTTTTTGGTGAAAATAAGATTAAAACTGTTTGAGTTACGGGACTTAGTAACTAAAACAGATGTGTGTTTTTTTTTCACATGTCGCGCCGTATCTCAAAAAAAATTTATGATTATTGCTTAAAACTTTACACACTTCTTAGTTATATTAATCTTAAGATCTGTATACTTTTTGGTGATGATTCAAAATTTTATTTTTGAGTTATTGAGTATTTTGTAAAAAAAGGGGGAGGGGTTTTTCACATGTCGCGCCGTAACTCAAAAACGATTTATGATTATTGCTTAAAATTTTACTCACTTTTTAGTTATATTAATCTAAAGATCTGTATACTTTTTGGTGATGATTCAAAATTTTATTTTTGAGTTATTGAGTATTTTGTAAAAAAAGGGGGAGGGGTTTTTCACATGTCGCGCCGTATCTCAAAAACGATTTATGATTATTGCTTAAAATTTTACACACTTCTTAGTTATATTAATCTAAAGATCTGTATACTTTTTGGTTTTGATTCAAAATTTTATTTTAGAGATATTGAGTTTTTTGTAAAAAAAAAGGGAGGTTTTCGCATGTCGCGCCGTATGTCAGAAACTGTTTATGATTATTGCATAAAAATTCACACACAAGACGACGGGCGTATCATGCGCTCATGGCGCAGCTGTTTATTATGATTTTTGCCT